CTGATGCTGGACTTGATCCCAGGATTCCGGGATCACGACCTGAGCCGAAGGCAGATGTTCAACCACCAAGCCACCCACATGCCCCTAGACCTATTATTCTTATTTCAATTTTTGATGTTTTTTTATCCATCTCTTGAAATGATATTTATTATTTGGAAGGCAGAAACTAAATCACTTGTCTAGTGATATCCATATCATGATATTAAATGCTTATTCTGGTCACTTAAACTTTTTGACTAAAAAGCCATGGTGTCCACAACAAGGAAAAAACATCTTGTAGAGGCTTACAAGCATGTTTGTTTTTAAAGATCAATTATTTAGGGGTACCTGGCTGGCTCTGTTGGTAGAGCATATGATTCTTGATCTTGGGGTTGTAAATTCAAGTCCCACAGTGGGCCTAGCACTTATTTAAGATTAGAATAGAATAGAATAGAATAGAATAGAATAGAATAGAATAGAATAGAATAGAATAGGTCAATTATTTAATCTCTCCAACTTAGCATATGATAAGCTAGATTCCTCATATGAAATGCAAAATTTCAAAGTGGAAGAAGTTTCAGTCCATTTATGAAAGAGAAACATTTTATTTGTTGAGGCCTTAGGAACAGAGCATCTCCTTTACTTTTAACTTGTAGCCTTGGGAACAGGGAACATTAAATAACAGTTCATAAAAGTGCTCTTTTGGATCTTTGTCCAGAAGTGACTAAAACATCCAAAATGAACCTTTTTTTTTAATGAGGTTCATATGATCAGTATTTGTTTAGTTTTCCTCATCCTTGTCATTGAGACAAGTGAGCAAATGGAAAAATGTTAGAAAGGAAAAAAGAAGTCCCAGAAATGGAAAAGTATATGTGGCTGGGACAGAAAATAAATCCACGGAGCCTTCTTGTGAGCAAGTGTTTGGACTAGGAAAGTCTACCTCCCAGCTGTACCCTGATGGCTTTTCCCGCAAAGGAAGATCAGTGTGGCTTGAAGGATAACTATGGTTCCCTTGACTTGGATTTTACTTTATATTTACTTTTTCTGCCTGGTTTGCCCCCTACTTACCTGCTCCCAACACTAGGTGGAAGGGCTTGCTGCAGTTCTCTAAAACCATTGGGAATAGAGCAGGGAACTGGAAGTAGCTACCTGAGGAAAGATTTCATGATCAATTTTTTTAAACGACTTTATTTATTTATTTGACAGACAGCAAGCATAAGCAGGTGGAGTGGCAGGCAAGGAAGAGGGAGAAGCAGGCTACCCACTGAACAGGACCCTGGGATCATGATCTGAACTAAAGGCAGATGCTTAACCAACTGAGCCACCCAGGCACCCCTTGTGATCAAATATTTTTAAGAGAAATATTATGAACCTCAGGAAATGATGTTTTCCCCACAATTTAATGTGCTGATTCTAAAAATCGGAGACTGTTAAAAACTAATTATTCTGTGGACATAAATTCAACCTTGCATTGGCTGCATTTGGAAAAATAATCCAGTCTTCTTACAGTGTAGTGGCATGAGACAGCAGTCTGTGTTCTAGCTCTGGCTCTGCCCTTTGTTTACTGTGTACATCTCTCTCTCCAGCTGGATAGTGAAGGCTTTTGGATTTGAAGATCCCTCAAAATACTGTCAACTCCAGCACATTGCTGGATTCTTTGGGTCTCTGAGGTTGTGGTAGATCCTCATCTTGGTGACACTGCAATTTTTTTTAACACTGCAATTTTTATCAATTCTAGAGTAAGATGAGCAGAGTGAGGAAGCTGTTATATGGAGACAGCATGGGTATAGTATTGACAGGTCAAAAGAGGCTCCATACATTATTATGAAGCCTCAGTAACTTCCTTTGCCACCAGATGGCGACCAGGCATTTGCAAGACTTAACAATTGGCTTTAGCCAAGACTAAACAAATGTCTTAAGAAATGAAGAAATTATAAGTTAATGGTGTAACTGATTATGTATATGTCTTAAACCCTGTCAAACTAATCAGCAATAGTTTAAACATTGAAAAGGTAGAGCTACTTATAGCTTACACATTACAAACAGTTACCTAAGGTATAGTTTATACTTACTTATAGTTATCTAAGGTTAGGAATGTTTTATCAAAGAGGGGGATATGAGCAGAGTTTGAAATCATGATGAGTATAAAGTAAGCAACAGAGAATTGATGAATTCATCAAATACTGGTATACTTGAATGAAGGACCATTCTTTAAAACCTTAAAATTAATAAACATAAAAGTAGAAGTGTAAAAAATGATATTTATTAATACTGGAGGTACTGCTGTGTGGAAATATAAATGCTTTTAGTTCAATAAATTAAGAAAATCAGAAGTGCTTGAGGAACATTTCTGAACTCTGGATGTGACATCGAGGAAGACAATTGTGACCTCCTTCTACCTCGGGTTGGTAGGCTTTTTCTATAAAGGGTCCAGATATTTTAGGATTACAGTTTATATGGCCTCTGTTTACTCAACTCTACCATAGTAGCATGAAGTAGCCATATACAATATGTAAATAAATGAATGTGACTATTATAATAAAACTTTATTTGCAAAAAAAAAAAAAGGCAGCAGGCAAGATTTGGCATATGTGCCATAGTTTGCCAACCCACTTGTAGATGAAAGCTAAAGTTCTAAGTATTTCTCCTTTTTAGGCCTCCATCCCTGGCTTTGGTCAAATAAGGGGTTGAATTAGATGATCTCTGACATTTTTCAGTTTTGTGTCCTTTAGTATCTTTCTCTGAAGCTAAGTGATTCATCAGTCCAACTCAGAATGATATTTCTTTCACTTGTAAGGTCAAATTTCAAAAAATCCAGCTTGGACAAATTTGTCTCTAGAACAGGGTTTCTGAACCTTGGCACTATTGATACTTTGATCTCTCTTTTTTTTTAATTGCTGTTGTGGGAGAGCTGCCATGTGCACTGTAGGATGTGGAGCAGCATCTCTGGACTCCTCTACCCATTAGATGCTAGTAGCACACACCCTCCTCCTCCACACCCAATGTCCCCTGGGAAGCAAATCACCCCCAGTTGAGAACTACTGCTCTGTAGACTTGTTTGAGTAACTGGAAGAATATCAAAACTGGAAATCAGGCCATTTGACCCAGAATGGCCACCAAGATAATAAACACATTCCTTCAGGTACAAGGTCAAAAAAGTCAAACCCAAAACAGCAACCGGTTTATTAAAAAGAGAAAGACATTGAGAATCAAAAGGGCCTAGAAAGTTGGTAGTAGGTTGCTTTTTTGTGTTCTTTTTTTGACGGGGGCGGGGGGGGGTGGAGAGTGGTGAAATGGTGAGAGGCGGGGCAGAGAGAGAGAGAGACAATCCTTTTTTTTTTTTTTTTTTTTTGAGAGAGACAATTCTAAGCAATCTCCACACACAGTGTAGGATCCAATTGGGGGCTTGATTTTATGAACCTGAAATCATGACCTGAGCCAATATCCAGAGCTGGACGCTTAACTGACTGTGCCACCGAGGTGCCCTAGTAGATTGCATTTTAATATTGATTTAGATCATTTTATGGAAAATGTTCCTAAAACCACTGAACCAAAATAGGTGGCTATCTTTTACAGGTAGGTAAAAAGTCAAACAAAGAAACATGGATGAAGAGAGGTGTAGAAAAGATCATTAGTACCAAAAATGTTTGCTTTTCACTCATAATGCTGATGATCAATCTCTAACAGAAAGAATTCACACTGGATAAATTCATTAGCCCTTATCTATGAAGTATGGGTTTTTTTTTGTTTTGTTTTGCTTTAAATGGATAAATCAAGTATGGTTTATTTCTACAGTAGAATATTCTTTAGTGGAGAAAATGAATGCAGTATAACTTCACACAGCTACATAGATGGATCTTTGAAGGTAGATTTTAAAATGTCAGTAAAGCTGGTCCTTTAAAAGTCCAGATCACATAGCTGGCTTGTAATTTAGCTACAATTAAAAGCTAAAGTCATCTTTAGTCAACTTAAAGAGCACTAGATTTCCATCTACCGTTTATTTATGCCCATATTTTTTCTTCTAATAATTCATTCTCTTAAACCTGATGACTCCTAAAATTCTAAAAAAAAAATTCTCTTCCAATTTTAAGGGATATTAATCATAGCTGACAAGCCCTGAATATCCAAATCACTTTAAACAAGATATTTTTTGTTTTTTGTCTTGTTTTACTTCTTGTTTTCCTTGCAGTGACAACACAGTGTGGTATTTTCTGAACAATGATATAAGAACTCTAGAAATACTAATTCTGGTCTCAGACTCTGCTTTTGACTTGTTCTAGGACCTTGGGCAGTCTTCCCCTTGCTAAGGAAACAGCTTGTTCATCTTTAAAATGGTAGAAAGATTCTCCAAATTCCCAGGGTGGCTACATAAGAATAATCTTTTTAAATTTTATTTTAGTTCCAGTATAGTGTTATATTAGTTTCGGGAATACAATATAGCAATTCAACAATCACATGAGAATTATCTCTGAAGCCTTGTTTAATATTTAGATTTCTGTGGTTCATTCCCAGATTCTGATTCTGTAGTGTAGGGTAAGGCCTAGGAAGCCCAGGTAATTCTGGGGCATGGCCATATTTGTAAACAATTAGAGATGATCCCTAAGGACCTTTCAACTCTAAAATGCAATGGTTACATGAAATCTCTATTTCCCTAAATGCCTTCTATTATATTATCTTCTGGGAGCTCTCTTATATACTGCAAGATATAATTGAGATGAATACATTGTAGGCTACTGCACATACACACATAGGTACAGCTTTGGTTTGCTATAATGTGATCAGCTTATGGCTCAGGATGAGAATCTTGACTCAAAAAAAAAAAAAAATCTTGACTCCCAATAATTGTGTTAGAAGATGGTTTCCCTTTTTTCACCAGGGTGCCATCTCAGCTTCTTTGTCTTCCTCCTTGGATTTAAAGAAGAATTAAATAATTTGATATTCTGATTTTCATGTACATAGAGTGGAATAAAATTAGAAATTCTACGTGGTGGTTAATTTGTTTGTTTTTCTTTAATTTACAGAATGCTCTTTTCAGTTGCATTAGCAGAAATGAAAGTAAGTATATTGTCAGTGGTTATGTGAGCAGTCCAAAGAGGAAAACACGGTTTACAGTGTACAATTTAGCTGTATCGCCAAGACCAGTCAGTTGCCAAGACCTGGCATTATGACATGGGCTGTTAGTAAACTACCTGAAGGCCCAGCAGGATTCTGATAGGCTCTTTCCTCTGCGGTGTTCAGGCTATTCATGAATTATGACAAGTGCTATGTCTTACCTGCAGATTTACAAAGCAGATAACTATTGTTAGATAGGAAGGTCATGCCCCACTTGAATAAATAAAATTACTTGCCAAAATTAAGCATTCCCAGGTGATAACAGCGTAGCACTTGCCAAGGACTGCCTCTCAATTCATTCAGCAGACATTTACTGACTACTAGCTCTGTGGAGACAGACATGGGATATGGGCCAGTGTCACTGATAAAAGTATTGTGGGAGTTCAGAGGAAAGCGGGATCACATGCTGCAGGGGCACTTAGAAGTGGCTTCATGGAGTTGGTAGCTGAGCTGGGCCTTGAAACATGGACAAGATATAAACAGTGGAGATTGGAGGAAGGACATCCCAGGTGAAGGGAGTAGTGAGAGCAGTTAACAGCTGAGCTGAGGAACAGAAGAATTGTTTGGATTCACTTGGCAGTTCAGTGGATCAAAGAATAAGAAACAGTAGCTGGCTATACTTTATCTTCTATCCCTCTCTAATTAGGGCTTAGTTCACAATTTCCAAGATAGTCTCACAGTAATCTCTGTCCTCCCCCACTGGTGAGGAAGCCAGCCTAAAGGAGGAATCAGAAGATGAGCGTCCTTGGCTTTTTCTCACTTGTCTCATCTGTCCTTAGTATTCCCCACCCCCATGCCTCAGTTTATCCTAAAGTTAATGGTGATAAATGTAGCCATTAATTATTCTTTATGTTGAAACTGAAGAGTTCAGCAATGAGCACGATAAGTAGTAATTATAAGTTAAAAACAGGTGGCACAATAAGTGTAAAACTGTTTCCTGGTGCAGGAAATAGGCCTATCCTGTATCAGTTCAGCCCTAGTTTAATTTGTGTATAATTTTATCATTGTCATTATTTCTGGAAGTTGCCTGAATTCCCTGCTTATTCCCTGCTCTGTGGAATTCACCAGAAACCTGATTCTGGTTCCTCCATAACCTCTAACAATTATCAGAGATTTTCTACCCGTTTCCTGCCATACCTCACCAGAAACTTGATTCTGGTTCCTCCATAAACTCTAATAATTATCAGAGATTTTTCGTACTGATTTCCTGCCCTTCCTGCCCTTTTGGTTCCCTTCAACCTCCCCCTAACCTCTCCTATGTGGGTCTCTTCGTCTTCTCCAGTATAAATCCCACATCTGCACCCCCAGTCACTCATCTGGCTCCCCCAAGGTACCCAAAATGGTCCCCCTTGATTTCTAAAAATACACAAATCAAAAAATGTACTTCAAAGATAAGTTTTACTTTTCAGTATTAAAACAGGTCATATCAGTTGTGGCATATATAATGCCATTTCAACTTAGGCATGTTCTTAGAGGTGTTCAAATTGAATAGAACTTTCAAGATTTTTTTCAAGATATACAGTTATATAACTATCAAATTTTTGAAATGAGCCTAGGATCTCTTAGTTTTTACTGGTCCTATTTTATAAATCTGAGGCATTCGGGGTCTGGTTTTATTTTGGTTTTGTCTTGCTTTGTTTATAAATCTCCACAAATCTAACATGGAAAGAAACTGTTTCAGTGGTTCTCAGCATGAGCAGTATTGGCATTTTGGGAAACTGTTTTGGTTGTGTGAGACTTCCCTGTACATTACAGAACAGTTAACAACCCTGACCCCATGCACTAAATGCCAGCAATAGTCCCCAATCATCATGAAAACCAGAAACATTTCCACATGCCTCCAGAATCTTTCAGAAGGATGGTACAGCTCTTGTTGAGAACCACTGCCCTATATAGACTGTAAGTTGACAAATAATGACTTTCTTATACCAGTGAACACCTGAATGTCCTCATGACTATGCCTATCTTCTGTGCCATGGTTTTATTTCTCAAATTCAAAAAGGTACATTTTGTTCTATTAATATTATGATGTTTTATTGTTAGCAAATGGCTGTTTCCATTTCAACATCATCTCCTTTTTTTCCCCATAGTGGGCTCAGTTTGTTGCAGTTATGCAGGCCATCACACAAACTGCCGAGAATACTGTCAAGCCATCTTTCGAACAGACTCTTCTCCTGGTCCATCTCAGATCAAAGCAGTGGAAAATTATTGTGCCTCTATTAGTCCCCAATTAATACACTGTGTGAACAATTATACCCAATCTTATCCAATGAGGAATCCAACAGATAGTAAGTAAAATGGACATATTCCTCTCATTTCAATCTTTGGTAAAACAATTTGTTAAAGGGAAGTAAATTCTTGGGGCACTTGGATGTGTCAGTAAGTTAAGTGTCTGACACTTGATCTCAGCTCAGGTCTTCATCTTGGGGTCGTGAGTTCAAGCACTGCACTGGGCTCCATGCTGTGGCACCTGTTTAAAAAAAAAAAAAAAGGAAGTAAATCCTTGTAGATATCTGCAGTCTCAGTCATTTGGGAAACACCAGACTTCCTTCGGTATATAGATTTGGCAGATTGGGTATTATTACAGCTGATAGCTGCCAAGAAAGGTAGAGCTGTCAAGGGTATGAGGAAGCAGGCACTCTGTTTTGGGGATGGGAGAATTCATTGGAATGGATATTTTAAAAGGAACTTGGGTTATGACCATGAGAATTTCAAATGATACCTTTTAATCTGGCAATTTCATTTCTCAGAATTTGTCCTTCAAGAAAACTTATAAATTTACAAAAATATGTATACGCCTGTAAAGAATGTTTGCTACAACACTGATGGCAATAGAAAAAAATTAGAAATACTCATCAATAGGGCATTGACTAAAATTAATGAAGTAAATTATATATCTGTATAATAACAATACTATATAACCAACATAAAAAAAAAGTATGTTTATCTAGAAAGAAGTCCAAGATATAGTAAACCAAAAAGTCAAGTTGCAGAACTAACTGTAAAGTATGATACATTTTTAGTTATATACCTATTCCACATTATATGTTTTTGTAATGTTTGAATTTTTATAATGAATAATTATTACTTTTATAATAAAAGTATCATAAAAATGAGAAGAGATCCTGATACTTTTGAAAATTAGGGCCTCCTAATGAACCTGCACTTTGTATGGTCTTCAGAGTCTCAGCTTCATACATCCTTTAATCCATTTTCTTCATTTAGAGGTGAACACACTTTAAACAATTGACTAATTAAACCAAACTGACAAAACACGTACAAGATTTATAAGCCGATGCCATTGTTTTGATTCACAGTGAGATACTGTGAGACTTGTTTTTGTAAACCCAGAAGCAATGATACGTGCCCTCTTGTCCAGCATCTAAAGGAGAACTCTGATGCTTATAGCATTCTGTGGTGTGGCTGTATGATGAAAATCAGACGATGACATCTGCCACAAACAACCTTCATTCATTTTATTTTTTTAAAAGATTTATTTATTTGAGAAAGTATGTGCATGAGGGCAGGTGCAGCAGAGGAAAAGGAAGAGAAAGAACCTTAAGCAGATTTCCCCACTGAGCACGGAGCCTATGTGGGCTCCATCTCAGACCCTGAGATCATGACCTGAACCAAAACCGAGTCAGATACTTAACTGACAGCACCACCCAGGTGCCTCAACCTTCATTCTTTTTCTTTTTTTTCCTTCATTCACCTTAAAGGCAGGAGCAGAAGCAACTTGACATCTTGTCAGAGTTTGCTGTTATATTATTTAAATTACAACTTAAATTAACTTGCACAGGTATACAAAAGCTTTATACCCCAGAATGTGATGAAATATGGTTTTTGTGGTCTTTGCTATTGAAATTAGACATCTCTTTCATTCTGTCAGGAACACAATCCCTTTTATTATTTTTTTTAAGATTTTATTTATTTTCTCATGAGAGACACACAGAGAGAGGCAGAGACACAGGCAGAGGGAGAAGCAGGCTCCATGCAGGGAGCCTAACGTGGGACTCGATCCCAAGTCTCCAGGATCACACTCTGGGCTGAAAGTGGCGCCAAAGCGCTGAGCCACCTGGGCTGCCCAATATAATCCCTTTTAGGGAGTTATTTCTAACACGAAATAATTCCAGTTTGACCTGTAATACCTTTTTCCAGGAACATAAGATACTTCGCATGTAAGGACTTCTTAGGTGTAGGATTTTTCATTTCTGTGGGATTGGTGCTAAAGATCCCATGTTTGGAGACAGTGGTAAATTCTGGTAATAGATACCTAGTCCATCTTTAGTTCTTCAGTTATTTGTTACACTACAAAGTAATGGAGCGAGAATTTGTGGGCCCTGTGTACTGCAGATACTGACATATGATTGAGTAGTAGTGTTACCAGTACACCATCATGTTCTTCTGTTCTGAGCAGTGCATGACATAAAATCAGCTAATTAAGTCATATATATTCTGAAAATGTAGGTTTATATTGCTGTGACAGAGCTGAAGACCATGCTTGCCAAAATGCCTGCAAGAGAATTCTGATGTCTAAGAAAACAGAAATGGAAATTGTTGATGGCCTCATCGAGGGTTGTAAGACTCAGCCTTTACCTCAGGATCCTCTTTGGCAGTGTTTCCTTGAAAGCTCACAGTCTGTTCATCCTGGAGTCACCCTACACCCTCCTCCCTCTACAGGCCTGGATGGGGCTAAATTGCATTGTTGTTCTAAAGCAAACACTTCAACATGTAGGTCAGTATCTCATTTTCCTTTATTAAAACCAGTAGAAAATAACATTTTAATTAGTGATTTTTTTTAATTAGTGATTTTAAGTCTAGTAAATGTGTGCCATATTTTTGCATTGTGTAGACTTAAGCGTTTAGAAGATATAAAATCTTTCATCCAGCAAATACTTAATGAGCGTCATGTGTATATAAAACATTGTTTTTAAACATTGCTAAAAGAACTCAGTTTTGGGGTATAGAAGATTAACATTGGCAGGGCAATAAATATTTAAAGATGATGCAACGTGGATTCTACCCCCAAGGTCATCATTTAAATAAGCTTACAATTTAGAAGATGTTTGGATGTGACATCTAAGGGATATTCTGTTTGTTAAATTATGAAACTTTGAACAGTAACTAACCTTTGCATATATTGGTGAATGATCTGGATTGGCACTTATACTCAAAGTTAGACCGCAGTTATATTGGCATTCATTTGGATGATTCATGTAGGGATAAAATAATACAAATAGAAGATGGAAGAAACAATCTAGAGACAAGAATAAATGGAGATAACTAAGGTCGTGGTAGAACACAGGTAACAGAAGTTTGCCTTATTAAGGATATTTTAGGTGAAAATGGACCACATATTACCAGAATATCCTGAAATGAGTATCACTAGGAATGAAACAGTTTTTCCTGTGGTTTCTAAACTGAATGGACCTTTAGCAAAAATTGTGCCTAGAAAAGCTCATCAAACTTTAACAAAGATATTAATATTTAAAAAAAACTAGATAATATCCAGAGAAAATTAACAGAAGAGCTTAAGAGAAGTTAAATTGGTCCTGTGATTAAGGACATTGGATTGCTGATAGGAATCAATAAATGTATTTATTTATGGGGGAATGCTGAGTAATTCTTTGAATGTCCTTAAAAGTGTCTATGCTCTAAAGTCACTGGAGACTAGAATTGCTATGTCATCCTAGAAGAATCTCACTAAGAAACATGTGTCCCACCTTACCTTGATATAAGGTTTTATGGTTTGCTTCCATCTTATTTCCTCTTATATGAAACCTTATAAAATGATTGTTATCATCTTATGGTTGATATCAGTTTGTCTAATTCCAGCTTATATATAGAAAACTAACTTTGCAATGTTATTAAAAGTCTGTCCAAAGTTATAGAGAAAGTTAAGAACTAGAGAAAGGACTGGTTTCCAATTCAAAGTACCTAATTTAACTCGATCACAGCTTCCTCATCTCTATAATGTGTAAGCTCCATTGAGAGCAGAGACCTTGTCTCTCTTATTTCCCATTGCATATCCAATGCCTTGAACAGGGTCTAACACAAAATAGGCACTCAGTAAACATCAGTAGAGTAAATGAATACACTTATAAAAGTAAAGACATCTTCCTCATAGGGTTAATTATGAAAGTCAAATAAAATGTGGCAAGAGTGGAGAATTTTTCTTGTCATTTTACATGTTTTGGTAGTATCATCTTTTATATTACATGTATTATGTTTCTTACATTTTTATTACATTTATCAATTTTTAAAATTAAACTAATGTGTAGGCACTTTGGAAATAGTACTGATATTATTTTAGTTATTTATAAGCTGTTTTATAATCATCAAGTACTGCAAATAAGATAGTTATATATTAACTACAATAGTATATAAAAGCTATGGAATTCATAAGCCTTTACATGTAGATATCTTGGCCTATCTTAAGGAATGTAAGTGGCTTCGGGATAATTTTTCAGGGAGAAACTGGTGAACCCTGAGTCTGTAAAGCTTCTTAAATCTGAGGACCATGTCACAGTTTTATGTCCTGTGATTGAAACATAAATATAAGGGAATCTATCTTTGTGGAGGCAAAACGTATGCCTTACCTTACTTTACGTAAAGGCAAAAGAGAGATCAGAATTAGAAGATATAATTGTGCCAAGAATAAGGATGTACAAATACCGTAATTAAATATTACAGTTAGCACTGAGCTATGTAGCAACCATAGCAAAAAGGAAAGAGAAGGATGACAAAAGATGGCTAACATTTTCATGGAAAAGTTCAGTTTATGGGTCTAAATTATGGGAGATAAATTTTAGTCTTTTGGCTTTTGTGCTTTTTTCTTATTTATATTCTAAAGTAATAGTTCATAGAATTTGAGTTTTATGCAAATCAAATATTCATTTGGCTCATCTGTGTTTCTGCATTTGTGCCTTTGTTTCAGAGAACTGTGCACTAAACTTTATAGCATGAGCTGGGGCAACACACAGAGCTGGCAAGAGTTTGATCGTTTTTGTGAATATAATCCAGCGGAAGTGTCCATGTTGACCTGTTTAGCAGACGTTCGGGAACCTTGCCAGTTGGGCTGTAGAAATCTTACTTACTGTACTAATTTTAACAACAGGTAAGAGCAAACTGTTGTACATGGAATGGAAGTGTTTTATCATTATCTTGTTTTTAAGTAAGTGAAAATACCACTTTACTCTGATTTTTACTCTGGTGCTAAGTTAAAAGGAAGTAGTATTTTTTTATTATTTCATCTTTAAATGCTATAACCCATCCAGTAAATCACCTCTGGGAAAGGAAGCACTGTAACAAAATCCTTTCTAGACTAAAGATTTTAAAGCATCTATAATTCAAAGAATCTTTTCTGTCTTCAATCAACCATTCTCCCCCTCTTCCTTCTATTACACAACCAGTGGAAACAATCCACTGCAGAATAAATCACCGTGAACAATTTGGTCATCCAAATGCCCTCTTTTCAACAGTTTATGTAGAAGTTTACTTCACCTGTCTGAAGGTCCCACTCAGTGACTTCCCTACTTCATACAAAAAAAATATTTTCTTACCTATTTGTATTTTATTGAAGTATCAAGTATGGTCAGAAAAACAAGGGCCCAAAACTGAATGGGTGAACAAACATCCAGAAGCATAGAGAACATGATATCGGAGAAGCCAGAGAGAGAGTTCCTAAATAAGAAGGGGCTGGTTTTGTGAGCTACAGCCTGGAGATCAAGAGGGTGAAGAGGAAAAGGATAATTCAGTTGGGCCAGAAGGAAGTTCAAATGAACAAAAATCCTATTCTTTTAAAAGTATTCAGAATAGGGGCACCTGGGTGGCTTAGTTGGTTAAGCATCTGCCTTCGACTCGGGTTGTGATCCTGGTGTCCTGGGATGGAGTCCTGCATCAGGCTCCCTGCTACTCCCTTTCCCTCTACCGTTCCCCTGCTTGTGCTCTCTCTCTCTCTCTCTCTCTCTCTCTCTCTTTCAAATAAATAACTAAAATCTTAAAATAAAAAATAAAAACATTCAGAATATTTTTTAAAAAGGTATTCAGAATATTATTTCAAGTAAGAAAATTGAGATATCTTTACAGCTGATGATTGAGTGTTAGCCAATAAGGACCTGGCTTAGAGATTGAATAAATTTGAAATCTGAAATGTTTGAAGTTAAACTTAGGCATGTAGTCTGGCTTCTGGGGATGGTGGAGCAGTTTGTATCAAACTAATACTTCTGCAAGTACCAATTATGAACTCTGTACAAAATATTTGGTAAGTATTGTTTTAAAGACATTAGAGGGTGACCAAAAGCAGGAGGGGCTGTATCTCATAATACAGAGAACCACACTGCATGAGAGCACATTTATCCAGTTTTTCCTTCATGGGCACTCTCAGCCCCCTTGCATGGTATAAAGAATTCTAGTAAAAAGCATTAGTCTTGGCCTGAGGAGTTAGAGATCAGAGTTTAGGGCTGCCAGAGTAGCTAGATGCAGGAGTAGAAAACCCCAGAAAAGTGGGAACCATGAAAGGAGATGTCCTCAAATCTACAAACAAACTCCCCATAAATCCTTAAATTTAATAAAGTGACAGTATACAAGGTTAACATACAAAAGCCAATTGTATTTCTGTATGTTAGCAACAAACAATTGGAAAATGAAATTTATTTAAAAAATACAAATTTATACGATTGCATCAAAAAACATGAAATAGAATAAATTTAACAAAAGAGGTATAAGAACTATATATTGAGAACCAGAACCAGAAAACTTTATAGAAAGGAATTAAAGACAGTGAATAAACAAAGAGAGGTACCATGTTCATGAATTAGAAGACTCAATATTTTTAAGATGTTAATTTTTCTGAAACTGATCTCTAGATTCTTTTTTTTTTTTTTTTAGATTTTATTTATTTATTCATGACATACACAGAGAGAGAGAGAGGCAGAGGGAGAAGCAGGCTCCATGCAGGGAGCCTGAGTGGTGGTTTCACCTTAGGTCATGATCTCAGGGTTGTGGGATCAAGGCTGTTTTAGGCTCTGTGCTCAGTGCAGGTCTGCTTGAGATGCTCTCTGTCCCTCTCCATCTGCCCCTCCTGCTCATGCTCTCTCTTTGTCTCTCTAAAATAAATACATCTTTAAAAAAATGAAAAGGCAAACCACGAACTGGAAGAAAATATTTGTTATACATATATCTGACACAGGACTTATATCCAGAATATATAAAGAACTCTTTTATAATCAATAGTAAAAAGACAACTTTTTCTAAAGAGGGTGAATAGCTAGAAAGACACTTCACAAAAGAAGATACCCAGATAGCCAATAAGTGCATGAAAAGGTGTTTGATGTGATTGGTCATCAGCAAAATGCAAATTAAAACCAGTAGAGTACCACTGCATGCCAGCAGAGTGGCTACAACTAAAGAGACTGACAACAGTTCCAAGTGCCTGGAACTTTCATACATTGCTGCTAAGAGTGTAAAATGGTGTAACCACTTTGGAAAATAGTTTGGCAGTTTCTTAGAAAATTATGCCCCAACAATACCATTTGTGGCCATTAAGAGACACATGAAAACTGGACACAGACTTTGTCTATAAACAGGTGAATGAAAAAAAGAGTGTTTCTTAAAGTGTGGTGCATGGTCTCCCAAACACCATGAGATCAAAACTATTTTTTTATAATAATACTAAGATGTCATTTGTTCAAACTCTAAATTTGAGTATAGTTCACACACAATGTTACATTAGTTTCAAGTGTACAACTTAGTAATTTGACAAGTTTTATACACCATGCCATGTTCACCACAAGTATAGCTCCCATCTGCCCTGTTTGTATATTTCATTTTTATATTATATCTGTTTCTAAAAGTTGGATCATTTACTTTGTCATATGAAAAAATGGTACAATCTAAAGATGATAGCCCCACACAGAGCATTTTGAAAGTTCAACTGCATCACAAAATCTTTGTTAAAAAGGAAAGATGTAGTCACAATCTTAATGTGTCTACATTGAATCTCCATACATTCAAAGCTGATATTCTTTGATGTGTTGTATGTACTTAAGAAAATCAGATTTTCCTGCTGCATCAGTATGTTAGGATTTTACCTATTCTCTCTAGAAAATAATTGCCTCTTGATTCTTTCTGGCCTTTTTTCTTTTCAGGCCAACAGAACTTTTCAGGAGTTGTAATGCTCAGTCAGATCAAGGAGCCATGAATGACATGAAGCTGTGGGAGAAAGGAAGCATAAAGATGCCATTTATCAACATACCTGTTCTTGACATTAAGAAGTGTCAGCCAGAAATGTGGAAAGCAATAGCTTGTTCACTGCAGATTAAACCTTGTCATAGTAAATCCCGGGGAAGTATTATTTGCAAGTAAGTTTCTTTCCCGTAATGACTCTCCAGTCTTGGTTCAGACCGTGATTTGAACTGTAGCCTATTTTTAGAGTTTTCTCTCCCACCACTTCCCTTTGCCTATACTTCTCACATGTTAAATTTCCTCCTCTGCTTAAAATACTCTTCCATCTTCACTTACCCACTGCCTATCTTTCTTAGCCTCTCTCAGATGCAAGTCATTCCTATGGAATCTTCCCAGATCTCTCCAGCTAATAGTAATTTATCCTTCCTACAAACGTCAATAGGCCTTTATTTGAACTACTCTCATGGAATTTAGTTCCAAAAACATTTATTGAGTACCTTCAATGTGCAATTCTGTTTTTATATTTAATATGTGCACTTTTATTCTGTTAGAGTTTGTTCTCCTTGAGGAATTTATTCTTCCTTGTGACTCCTTTTTCTTGTCTCTTCTCTTTTTCTCTTCAGGGATTAGCATAATCCTGATACACAGTAGGTGTTCCATACATGTTTGATGAGTAAAGGAATTAGTGAATATGGTCATTAGGGCCTGTTTCTAGGGAACATTTTGTGAATTGTTTGCTTAGGAGATCTAGGATAAAGATAAAAAAGCTGCTGTGCTGGGTAAATCCAGAAGCATTAACCATTTAGTAATTTATGCCACCTGATCTTCAAGCACCTATTTTTCTAAAAACCAAGTTACTGTCCAGCCCCTAAGTTGTTGGTGTGTGTCTTGGTGTTATGGGGCACTTGATGACTGATGGCATATTATTTCAACCTTAAACAGTGTCCATCTATTCTGTGGCATGACTTGGGGAAGACCTGAGTAAGGAGAAAGATGAAGGGTAACTTTAGTGACAAGCAAGAGGCAACCAGTGGGAAATCTATGGATTCTTAGCATGAAAACTTAAAGAATCAAATCCCTTTTGAAGACTGAGAAAATTTTAAAGTAGTGTACTTTCCAGTTGTTATGGGCCAAACACCTTAATGTTGATAATTTTTAAAATATTTAAAAAGAGAAGGGGAGAGAAGGAGGAAGAACCAAGCAAGCATAAGGTCCTGAAAGAAAGGATTTTGCAAAGGTCAAATCAGACTAGTCTAGTTTAATTTTCTTTCTTTTTTTAATTTTTAAAATTATTTATTTATTCATGAGGACACAGAGAGAGAGAGGCAGAGACAGGCAGAGGGAGAAGCAGGCTCCATGCAGGGAGCCCGATGTAGGACTCCATCCCAGGTCTCCAGCATCACACCCCAGGCTGCAGGCAGTGCTAAACCGCTGTGCCACCCCGGCTGCCCTAATTTTCTTTCAAAAACAGGGACAAGCCACATTGATCGTAGTAACAGTATGAGTATAAAATTTGAGCGAGGCCTTTGATCTCAGATAAGAGGAAAGGATGCTTTGATATTACATTACTTACTACTGTGCAACCTGAAGTCTTCTCTGACTTCTGATTTCTTTTGCCATTACTCTAACCTACCAATTGTAAATCATTGTTATGAAAACTCACCTTCTAGAAGGCTTCAGAAACAGAATTGATGTTGACAAGACAACATGAGATGATTTGTGTGTATTTTTCTTTTTAAGATCAGATTGTGTGGAGATTCTTAAGAAATGTGGGGACCAGAATAAATTCCCTGAAGACCACACAGCTGAAAGTATTTGTGAGCTTCTGTCACCTACAGATGACCTAGAGAATTGTATACCTTTGGATACATACCTCAGTAAGTACTTTGTTTTTTTAGATTTTGAATACTTCTCCCTTCCATCTCTGCCCTTCATGTTTGCTTTGGATGAACATCTATCTGCTGAAAATGTGTGGTTTAATGATACAATCTCAATTGCAGACTCTTATTTGTTTGGCCCTTTTGGCCTTGGAAAGAATTATCATCTTAAAATACATAAGCACAAGTGATTATCTTATTCTGAGGAACTGATGTACTATTGTCAATAAAGAATTCTGAGCAATGAATCTGGGGTAATCATCTTAGATAACAGCTCCATATCATTGTCATGATTTGACCAGGAAGTGGAATTTACCCCTAGGGAATCTTTAGCTTTTTGTCTTCAGAATATTAGTAGACCTGAGCCAAGCTTGGCTTAGACCAACCCACCAACGAGGGAGTAAGGAATGACGGTCTGGGTTAGTACTTGAAAATGCAACTTTTGTCTCTGCCAAAATAATTCTGCTAAGAGCTAGGCCAAGAGCTAGAAGAGTAAGATGGTATCCCATTGAGGGATCCTGAAGCTGAGTGTCTTAGCAGGAGATGACCCTGTGCCTTGGAAATCTGAGGGAACTCTCTACACACACCACTGTTGTTAGGGTAGCGAAAGGGTCTATGCTGCCGCCAGGGGGCGTTAGTGCTCTGAGCTGGCTGGAAAGGCGGACCAAGAATTCAGCTCCTATTTAGTTTTCCTGTGTTAGATAGGACTGAGTTCTACTGCAAATAACAGAACAACGGGTAAAAGAAAAGGAAAGCCATAAACAAGCAGATAGATAGATAGATAGATAGATAGATAGATAGATAGATAGATAAGTAAGTAAGTCCAGGGCTGTTATAGTTCTCCACCATCCAGAGTCCATGCTCCTTTTGCTTTCCACACTGTCCTTAGTCTTTGGCTTCCATCATCAAAGTTACTTCAGGTACTTTATCATCTCAACATGGCTCCTGGAATTCTAACCACCATGTCCTAATATAAGGGAAAACCGCCCTAGCTGTAAGGGAAACTGAGAAATATGATCTTCTTAGCTGTGAAACCATTGTGTCATACTATTATTAGTAAGCAGGAAGAGAAGAGTAGATGCTAGATTTGCAGCTCGTGATATCAGCCACACTTTCTTAAGGCCAACATACTATGGTCCCTCAACCTTTATGACCAATATAGCACCCCCCCCCAATAAAAAAACATTGTACTAGAGTGTAGACCTCCGTGGCTTTGAACAGACCACTTCTTTCAACCTCAGCTTCCTTATTTATAAAAAGATTGGGCTGTATGAGATGAACTTCAAGAACCCTTATGCCTTTATTAGCCCCAGTCTGAGTCTGGCCTAAAATCAAGTGAGCAAAACTAATGTATTCACAAGCCTAGACTCTATTTGAGCAGTGAAATATATGTGTAGAAGGAAAAAAATTAAAGAAATGTTTTTGTTTGAATTTTAACACTCTTTATCACATACACTTTATATGAAGTGAGACTCTTCCATGGTCATTATTTCACAAGTTGACAAATATAATCATGGTACAGGATCCATCTTACCATAGTGAATTATTATAGTTTATGGTAAAATGTGCAGAGTTATTCCTCTTAGGCATAAGCACCTATTTGGCCACCCTATCCAAAGTATACTTACCACTTTCCATCCCTTTATACTACTTATTACTTATCATTTGGTAACTTTTTAAATTTATATACACAGAGACACACATGCATACATATACTCCTAGTCTATTTCCCAAATAAAATGTAAATTCTACAATAGAGATTTGTCTATTTTGTTCACTCCTATATCTCCAAAGCCCAGAACCTTTCCCAGTATATCATAGGTACCCAGTAAATAAACAAGTGAATGAATGTATAAATGTTTATGCTAAATTCACAAATGATCAGAGAATCTCTGTGTTTTGATAATTTACTAGAATTAGGCCTCACTTTCTACTCACAAGCTCTCCATTTATTCTAGCCATAATTAATTCAGATAATTTACAGACCTCTGTTACCTTTTTGGGTTGGTTTATCTGATCTGTGTTTGGTTTTTCAGAGCCAAGTACTTTGGGTAATATTGTAGAAGAGGTCACTCATCCCTGTAACCCAAATCCTTGCCCTGCTAATGAGCTCTGTGAGGTAAACCGGAAGGGGTGTCCGTCTGGAGATCCCTGCCTTCCATACTCTTGTGTTCAAGGTAAGACGTAGATGGGTGTGGATGTGGGGTGAGTGTGGATTTGTGCCGCTGGTTATGTCTTTATAAGGATTATCTTTGGAGTGAGCTCACAATGAACTTTATTTTCTAAGTTATGTTTTTCTGTAATTTTGAGGTTTTCCCCATAAACATGTGTTAGTTATATAGGCAGGAAAAGACAAAGACAAATGTAATTTTCAATGATCATTTAGGATGTAAACTGATTCTCATAATGAGTTACAGGGTTCTTGACAACAAAAGAAAAGAAAAGCCAGTTTTTTGTACATTCTCTCCCATGTTGTAATGTTTGAAAAAGTGTACTGCACATTATTCATGTTTTTTCTTTTCTTTCCTTTAGTTATATGGAGAAAAGACATACTCAAGGAATGTACAGTTATCTCCATAAGCTTAATGTTTTATTGAGATGCATATGATTTTAAGACTGATTTATTTTTTGAAATGCAGGAGGCCTCTTGAATAAGAAATATTTATCCCATTGGATTTTGATGTCTTTATCTCTTTGTGCATCCCTTTAGAGTACAGTGGCAACATTTTGCTTCCTTTTCCCTATTTCCCAATTGAAAATGTTTCTTTGTCATATTAAAATCACCATTTAAAAATGTCTGTGAAAATAAATAAAATCTTGGGGCACCTTTATTGCTCAGTGGTTGAACGTCTGCCTTTGGTGCAGGCGTGATCCCAGGGTCCTGGGATTGAGTCCTGCATCGAGCTCATCTGCAAGGAGCCTGCTTCTTCCTCTGCCTATGTCTCTGCCTCTTTCACTGTGTCTTTCATGAAAAAATAAATAAAATCTTTACAAGAATAAATAAATATATCTGTGAAATAGGGGTACCTGGGTGGCTCAGTCAGTTAAGCATCTGCCTTTGGCTCATGTCATGATCCTGGAGTCCTGGGATCAAGTCCCACATTGGGCTCCCTGCTCAGTAGGGAGCCTGCTTCTCCCTCTCCCTATGCCCCATACTCATGCTTTCTCTCTCTCTCTCTAGTGCTCTCTCTCTCAAATAAATCAACAAAATCTTTTTAAGAATTATCTGTGAAGTAAAAAGGAATAGAAGATTAAATTAAATAATTAAATAACTATGATGTCTCAAAGGATCATTTATAATATCTGTGTAATACCAGAATATATCAGCTATAGAGTCAAGATAAATCTTGTTTTTTTTTTTTTTTAATTTTTATTTATTTGTGATAGTCACACACAGAGAGAGAGAGGCAGAGGGAGAAGCAGGCTCCATGCACCGGGAGCCCGATGTGGGATTCGATCCCGGGTCTCCAGGATTGTGCCCTGGGCCAAAGGCAGGCGCCAAACCGCTGCGCCACCCTGGGATCCCGATAAATCTTGTTAAAATTGGAAATGAATGGGTTTTCCTCAAGTCCAATGAAGTACTCACCTTTACTTTGAATTTACAATATGCATGCATCCCATCACTAAAAGTTTTCCTGACCAAGCGTACTCTAAAAATATTATCAGTTTTTATAGTCCATTTTAAAAATATCTGTGATTTTTTAAATATCCTTGGTAAGCCTAAAGAAGTAAAAAACAACAAGAACAACATACCTTATAGCATTTTTGTACTGAACTATAGCTAGCTTTGGGGTATAGATCCGTAATCACCACCATCTCACGGACCATAGACTTTTCATATGAGAGGAAATGGTTTGGTCAGTGAATCAAACCAATTCTTCAACTTAGTAAAAGTTCTATTACATAATCTTTAGTACCACACAGTGCCTATAAGACTTATGTAAAATATTTTTAATGTTATAGAACAATACCATCTCTCTCAGCTTATTTTTGTTTGTACAGGTTGCAAATTGGGAGAAGCCTCTGATTTCATTGTCCGTCAAGGGACACTAATTCAGGTGCCATCATCTGCAGGGGAAGTTGGTTGTTACAAAATTTGCTCATGTGGACAAAGTGGACTCTTGGAAAACTGTATGGAGATGCACTGTATAGATCTTCAGAAGTCGTGTATTGTCGGAGGAAAAAGAAAAAGTGAGTCTTGAACTATATTTGCTTTTTTTCTTTTTATTTTTTTTTAAGATTTATTTATTTATCATGAGAGACACAGACTGAGAGAGAGAGGCAGAGACATAGGCAGAGGGAGAAGCAGGCTCCTCGCAGGGAGCCTGATGTGGGACTCGATCCCAGATCTTGGGATCATGACCTAAGCCAAAGGCACGCCCAACCACTGAGCCACCCAGGCGTCCCTTTTCATTTCTAATATGAGATTAGTTATCTTAACTTTATAAGAACATTGAGTAGATTCCCACCAAAGAGTAAGGTCTACAAATCAGATCCTCCAGGGCAGTATTTTTCAAACTGTACTCTACAGGACACTAGGACTTCTAAGGAACCTTCTTAGGAGCCTCCTCAAGAAGGGATTAATAGGGATCCCTGGGTGGTGCAGCAGTTTGGCGCCTGCCTTTGGCCCAGGGCGTGATCCTGGAGACCCGGGATCGAATCCCACGTCGGGCTCCTGGTGCATGGAGCCTGCTTCTCCCTCTGCCTCTCTCTCTCTGTGTGACTATCATAAATAAATAAAAATTTAAAAAAAGAGAAGGGATTAATAGCTGATAACAATTAATTAATTAATACTTACTGAACTTTTAATTGTTTTAAGCACATTCAGTCCTCGGCCTGACTCCAAAGCCCTTGCCCTCCACAGGAAAGGACCCATGTGTGTCCTTCCCATCCCTTCCTCAATTGTGTCTCTTTACCAGTAGTAAAAGTCAGAGTTTGGCATCCTAGATAGTGAACTGGAGGGTGGGAACTACACTGTTGACTAGGCATTGGGACAGAGCACATGAAGAAGTGCCCCCCTTTGATGCCCTCTCTAAAAGTTGGAGGTTTCTCACTGCTTCCTTAACCATGTTTTGCTTATAGCCCTAACAACCATTCATGTCAATATACAACCTCAAAAATTGTGGGGAAAAATGCTACTTTTGAGAATGTACTCCCCCACAGCTGTTCACTTTTCCACCCTCTCCCCTCCATTACCCTATACCCATCAACCAGAGTAGTTCAGCTTTAATATGCCTCTTGGTTTACTCTTCTGTCTGAGATCTTATTTGAAAGAAGAGTGCTTTTGGCTAAAAAGAGCCTGTAATTGTCTGCCCTAGAACAAGTCAGGTATTCATTTTTTAGCCCATATTCCACTTAGCCAAAATGTAAGGTAGGTACCATGTATCACAATATTTGAGGATAAACAAATTCATTCCTTCCATGAGTTCCACTGGCTAAATACCTATTCTTTACAGAAGAACATACTAGCACCTTATGGGGCTAAAACTGGGGTGAGGGATTGAGGTCATGCTGTATGTGATCAGATGGGGGAGAATTGGAGCACAAAAGGAGCAGATCAAGTGTCTTCAAGGACCTAGTCATTCCTGCCAGGGCATCAGGAGAGTCTTCAATTCAAAGGTGGCATCAGGGCTGATTCCGGAGAGATGATCAAAGTTCCAGAAGGAGAGGAGCAGTGAGGCAGAAAGGGAAGCCAAAAACATTCCCAGATAATAGGGAACAGTCTGGTGAGACTAGCCATTAGGGGTTTAGAGAGAAATGGTGGGAGGTAAGTATGAAAATATAAATGTTACAGATTTAACTTTCTAGTCTGTATATTCAGAAGTCATCTTTCAAGAATTTCTATTTTAAAACTTAAACTATTACATTTTTAATTTATGATTTACTCATAAATGCATGAAATGGGTCAACATTTTCTCTTTTTCTCAGGTCATGGGACATCGTTTAATATTGACTGCAATATCTGTTCTTGTTTTGCTGGCAATTTGGTGTGTTCTACCCGTCTGTGCCTCAGTGAGCACAGTTCCGAAGATGACCGTCGCACCTTCACAGGTAACCATGGCCACCCATTAGTGGCCATCATCCATTTGTACCCATTTTGCTTCAAGATAGCTTTGCTGGTCTAGCCATAACTGCAGATGTACACAGTAAAATAAATACATAATCCGAGAACAAGGTACTTTCCCTCTCTGGATCTGTTTCCTCCTCTCTGAATGGAAGACATTAAACTAAAGGGTTCCTTAGGGGCACATGGGTGGCTCACTCAGTTAAGCATCTGCCTTCAGCTTGGGTGGTGGGATCAAGCTCCATGTCAGGCTCTCTGCTCAGCAGGGAGCCTGCTTCTCCCTCTCCCTCTGCCTACCACTCTGACTGTTTGTACCCTCTCTCTCTCTCTTTCTCTGTCAAATGAATGGGTAAATAAAATCTTTTAAAAAAAAAAAAAGATTTCTCAGGACCCTTCCAGCACTAGTATTAAAATTCCATGGATCAAAAAGAACAGGGCCAAGTGATTGGGACAGTTTCAGTTAAGAGGAACTTTTCCGCTTGCTAAAATACCCCATCCACCCCTACCATTATGTTATAAAATGTATTTGATAAATTTGTTTGTGTTCTAGTGTTTTTCTCATCACCTTTTTCCCAGTCCTGCCTTAGTTTACTGGATCATTAGGTACAGACACCTATAAATAAAGCTATATGTAGGAAAAGCAAAGAATGCTCCCTCCAATCTAGTTTATAAAATCTAGAAATTAGATGTTAATATCTGGCTTGAGGGATTTCTGGAATGTCAAAGGGTAATACCGAAGACAAGATAAGGACAAAGTTTGTAAAGTCATCATGTAGGTTCCTTCCACTCTTCATCTCCTTAGGGAAGGGGAAGAACAAGAAGGTACCTTAGGAAATTATTGTAATTTTGAGACTTAAACATTTTTATGAACATCTCTGAATTGTGTTTGGACTAGGACAATATCTGAGTCTCAAGAAATGTGGTATACTTTGTGGCCAGTAAAATCTCCTTAGAGTCTGCCAGCTAAATAGGCATTACCTTCATTTATCCCAGAACATGAGGGGCTATATGCTACAGGTGAAAAGGGTCCTGCTAGTTGGAAAGTTCATCTTCCAAAAACATTTAGATGTAAGTAAGTTGGTAAGTAAATTAAATAAATAAATAAGTAGTCTTCCGCAGAAATCTTTAGTTCACTCTTCATCCCCAATGGTTTTATGGTTTCTCTAAGCAGAATGAATTGCTCTTATCAAAGCAGAGCTGATAAAGGATAATAACAATGATGACAATAAAGCACCAAGGTTGGTACTCAGAGTGGATAGAGGATGGGGTGTTAGTCCTGCTTTCACTTTTCCAGAAACCTGCTGCACACTTCTTATTTCTGATTTACTTTTTATTTCCAATGGGCTGGAAGTACAAGGTCAGTAAACTCCTAATGTGTTCTCCTCCCACCCCTCTCCATGTGTAATACTAACTCCTGGGAAAGAAGAATCAACTTGCTGCTGCAGTGGCATGAAATGGAGTAAAGGCAGCTACCTGGCTCCTCTTTGCCCAGAACCAAGAGTATTTCAGATCTAGAACAAAGCCATTCCCAGTTGATAGCAGTCGACCATGCTGTTGTTGTCAACAGCTGTAGCTGCTTCTCAAGAAAAAGGCATCTCCTCTCACTAGCCTCTTAACTTACTGGAGCATAATCCAGCAGCATAAAGCAAAAGAATGTCAAGAAAGTAGTTTTCTTGATTGATTGCTCATAAACATTTTTAAGTCTCAAAATTACAATAATTTCCCAAGTACCTTCTTGTTCTTTTGGTATTACCCTTTAATACCATTCCAGAAATCCCCTAAGCCAGACTTCAGATGTCTAACTAGATTTATACACTAGAGTGGGAGGAGCATTCTTTACTTTTAGTACCTTTAGCTTTGTTTACAATTTTTTTGCTCTTTTCCCACCCTAACTACAATATTTTACCACCTCTTCATTTTTAAGATTCTTCCTTTTTTACTTTCATATTTCTACAATTACAGGTCCTAGATATATTTTCCACTTCTAGATTAACCTTCAACATACTCAATTTTGGGAGATATACAAGATATGGTTTCTTTTGTTTTGTGTTTTTTGTTTTCTCTGCCTCATTTTGTTTTACAATGGCTGAAGTTTATACCTTCTAAAACATGACCACTATGCACCCAGAACCAAATGCTATACCATGCTGGTTCGTTCTGTGAGATGCCTCATTCCCATTCTGCCCCCCTTTTTTATTTCATTTATGTTTTGGTGGTCAACGTTGGAGCCCTCTACAAGTATTTCTGGTTTATATAAATTTGGGACTGAGCATCTTCTGATATATAGAACTTAATATACTCAGAAACAAGAAGATCACTCTCTAGAACCCCTCAGGTGGACTACATTCTCCCTCCACTCTAACTTCACCACCACCATTTCCCAGTCCCCCCACTGTTTTTCTCTTCTCCTTTTTTTTTCCTTTTTTTTTTTTTTCTCTTCTTTAGGATTCCTGGCCTTTTATTTTTTACTACTTTGTTTTAAAGTTTGTTTTTCACTTTAGTGGTCCTTTTGTTTTATTTCGTTCTGATCTTTGTTTTCAATTTTTGGTCTCTGACCTCAGCAGAATCATCTAGGGTGAAATTTACTTAGGTTGTGGTTGATATTCTTGATGCAGCCCGCTCATACAGCCACTCTTCATGGAGCAAAATGACTAGAAAGAAGAACTCCCACAAAAGAAAGAATCAGAAACAGTACTCTCTGCCACAGAGTTACAGAATTTAGATTACAATTCGATGTCAGAAAGCCAATTCAGAAGCACAATTATAAAGCTACTGGTGGCTCTGGAAAAAAGCATAAAGGAATCAAGAGACTTCATGACTGCAGAATTTAGATCTAATCAGGCCGAAATTAAAAATCAATTAAATGAGATGCAATCCAAACTGGAGGTCCTAATGACGAGGGTTAATGAGGTAGAAGAACGAGTGAGTGACATAGAAGACAAGTTGATGGCAAGGAAGGAAGCTGAGGAAAAAAGAGAAAAACAATTAAAAGGCCACAGGAAAGGTTAAGGGAAATAAATGACAGCCTCAGAAGGAAAAATCTACATATAATTGGTGTTCCAGAGGGCCCCAAGAGGGCCAGAGGGCCAGAAAGCATATTTGAACAAATCTTAGTATATGTGCTCCTGAAGCACATATTTGAACAAATCATAGCTGAGAACTTCCCTAATTTGGGGAGAGAAACAGGTATTCAGATCCAGGAGATAGAGAGGTCCCCCCCAAAATCAATAAAAACCGTTCAACACCTCAACATTTAATAGTAAAACTTGCAAATTCCAAAGATAAAAAGAAAATCCTTAAAGCAGCAAGAGACAAGACATCCCCTAACTTATATGGGGAGAAATATTAGATTAACAGCAGACCTCTCCACAGAGACCTGGCAGGCCAGAAAGGGCTGGCAGGATATATTCAGCTTTGTTTATGTGGGTCTCTACCCCAGGGATCAAGGTTTGGAAGCCCCTCAATTAGCTAGCAATAAATGGAACAAAGGAAAGCCATTTTGCAAACAAATGAGATTGGAGGAATGCTTTTTCCTGACTTAATTCACAATTCTATTTTAACTTTAGATCTCCATGTTAATTAGGAAATATGATGGGCAGGGGAATGTACAGGTACCCATCACTGAGTCTATGTCCTCTCCACAGGTCTGCCCTGTAACTGTGCAGATCAGTTTGTCCCTGTGTGTGGGCAGAATGGACGCACTTACCCCAGTGCCTGCATTGCTCGCTGTGTTGGCCTCCAAGACCATCAGTTTGAATTTGGATCATGCATCTCAAAGGATCCATGTAATCCTAATCCCTGCCCAAAAAACCAAAGGTAAATTAAATGGCTCTTTTTATTTTTTCTTTGTTTATTTTAATCATCTGGTACTCATCACCTATTTCGCCCATCCCCCCACTCACCTCTCCTCTTATAACCATCAGTTTGCTCTCCGTAGTTAAGAGTCTATTTCTTAGTTTCTCTCTCTTTCTCTTTTTTGCCCTGTGTTTGTTTCTTAAATTCCATATCTGAGTGAAATCTTCTATGTCTTTCTCCGATTTACTTCCCTTAGCATTATACTTTAGTTCTATCTATGTTGTTGCAGATGCCAAGATTTTATTCTGTTTTATGGCTGAATAATATACCCTTGTGTTGTACACACACACACATACATACACATACCTCATCTTTATCCATTCATTCATCGATCGATGGATACTGGGCTGCGTCCATATCTTGGCTATTATAAATAATGTTGCTATAAACATAGAGGTGCATGTATGCCTTTGAATTACTGTTTTTATTTTTTGGGGGGTAAATACCCAGTAGTGAGATTGCTAGATCATAGGGTAGTTCTATTTTTAATTTTTTGAGGAAGCTCCATACTGTTTTCCATAGTGGCTGCACCAGTTTGCATTCCTACCAATAGTGCAAGAGAGTTCTTTTTCCTCCATATCCTCGCCAACACTGGTTGTTTCTTGTGATGTTGATTTTAGCCATTCGGATAGGTCTGAGGTCTCATTGTAATTTTGATTTGCATTTCCCTGATGATGAGTGATGAGCATCTTTTCATGTGTATATCGGCCATCTATATGTCTTATTTGGAGAAATGCCTGTTCTTGTCTTCTGACTATTTTTTAACTGGATTATTTGTTTTTTGAGTGTTGAGTTTTATAAGTTCTTTATATATTTTGGATACTAACCTTTTATCAGATATGTCATTTGCAAATATCTTTTCCCATTCTGTAAGTTGCCTTTTAGTTTTGTTGATTGTTTCCTTTGTTGTACAGAAACTTTTTATTTTGATGTAGTCCAAATAGTTTGCTTTTGCTTTTATTTCCCTTGCCTCAGGGGACCTATCTAGAAAAATGTTGCTACAGCCAATGTCAGAGAAATTATTGCCAATGTTCTCTTCTAGGATTGTTGTGATTTCAGTCTCACATTTAGGCCTTTATTCCATTTTTAATTTTTTGGTGTGTATGGTATAAAAAAAGTGGTCCAATTTCTTTCTCTTGCATGTTGCTGTCCAGTTTTCCCAACACCATTTATTGAAGAGACTTTTTCCCATTGGATATTCTTTCCTGTGCCGTCAGAGATTAATTGACCATATAATTATGGGTTTATTTCTAGATTTTCTATTCATTGATCTATGTGTCTATTATTGTGCCAGTACTATACTGTTTTGATTACTACAGCTTTGTAATATAACTTGAAGTCCAGAATTGTGATGCCTCCAGCTCTGCTTTGCTTTTTCAAGATTGTTTTGGCTATTCAGGGTCTTTTGTGGTTCCATAAACATTTTGGGATTGTTTGTTCTAGTTCTGTGAAAAATAGGGATTACATTAAATATGTTGATTGCGGGCAGCCCCGGTGGCACAGCGGTTTAGCACCACCTGCAGCCCAGGGCATGATCCTGGAGACCCTGGATCGAGTCCCACGTCAGGCTCTCTGCATGGTGCCTGCTTCTCCCTCTGCCTGTGTCTCTGCCTCTCTCTCTCTCTCTCTCTCTCTGTGTGTGTGTCTCTATGAATAAATAAAGTCTTTAAAAAAATAAATATGTTGATTGCTTTGGTTAATATAGACATTTTAACAGTATTTGTTCTTCCAATCCATGAGCATGGAATGTCTTTCCATTTCTTTGTGTAATCTTCCATTTGTCTCATCATTATTTTCTAGTTTTCAGTGTATAGGTCTTTCACCTCTTTGGTTAGGTTTATTCTTAAGCATCTTATTATTTTTTGGTGCAACTGTAAATGGGATTGCTTTCTTAATTCTCTTTCTGCTACTTTATTGTTGGTATATAGAAATGCAACAGATTTCTGTAAATTGATTTTATATCCTGTGACTTTACTGAATTGTTGGTGGAGTCTTTCTGGTCTTCTACATATAGTATCATGTCATCTGCAAATAATGAAAATTTTACTTCTTCCTTACTGATTTGGATGCCTTTTATTTCTTTTTGTTGTCTGCTGTATCTAAGACTTCCAGTATTGTGTTGAATAAAAGTGATTACAGTGGTCATCCTTGTCTTATTCCTGACCTTAGGGGAAAGGCTCTCCGTTTTTCTCCATGGAGGATGATGTTAGCTGTGAGTTTTTCATATATGGCCAGTACTATGTTGAGGTATGTTCCCTCTAAACTTACTCTGTTGAGGGTTTTTATCATGAATGGATGTTGTACTTTGTCAAATGCTTTTTCTGCATCTATTGAAATGATCATATGGTTCTTATCCTTTCTCTTAATGATATGATGTATCACGATTGATTTGCAAATATTGAGCCACTCTTACAACTCAGGAATAAATACCACTTAATTATGGTGTATAATTTTTTTTTAGTGTGTTGTTAGATTTGGTTTGCTAGTCTTTTGTTGAGGATTTTTGTGTCTGTGTTCATCACCAACACTGACCTGTAGTTCTCTTTTTGTGGTGTCTTTATCTGGTTTTGGTATCAGGGTAGCTGGCCTCATAGAATGAATTTGGAAGTTTTCCTTCCTTTTCTGTTTTTTTGGGATAGTTTGAGAAGAATAGGTATTAACTCCTCTTTAAAAATGTTTGGCAGGGATTCCTGGGTGGCGCAGCGGTTTGGTGCCTGCCTTTGGCCCAGGGCGCGATCCTGGAGACCCGGGATCGAATCCCACATCGGGCTCCCGGTGCATGGAGCCTGCTTCTCCCTCTGCCTGTGTCTCTGCCTCTCTCTCTCTCATTCTATGTGACTATCATAAATAAATAAAAATTAAAAAAAAATTTTAAAAATGTTTGGCAGAATTTGCCTATGAAGCCATCTGGCCATGGACTTTTGTTTGTTAGGAGTTTTTAAGTTACTAATTCAGTTTCTTTGCTGATGAGCAGTCTGTTCAAATTTTCTATCTCTTCCTATTTCAGTTTTGCTGTATATTTCTAGGAATTTATCCATTTCTTCTAGGTTGTCCAATCTGTTGGCATATGATTTTTTATAATATTCTCTTATAATTATTTGTATTTCTGTGGTGTTTATTGTTATTTCTCCTCTCTCATTTGTGATTTTATTTATCTGGGTCCTTTCCCTTTTTTCTTGATAAATCTAGTTAGAGGTTTATCAATTTTATTGATTTTTTTTTTCTAGCTCCTGGTTTCATTGATCTATTGGTTTTTGGTTTGGGGATTTTTTTAGTTTCTATATAATTTGTTTCTGCTCTAATCCTTATTATTTCCTTCCTTCTGCTGATTTAGGTTTTGTTTCTTCTTTTTCTAGCTCCTTTAGGTATAAGATTATGCTGTTTAGGAGATCCCTAGGTGGCTCAGTGGTTTAGACCCTGCCTTCGGCCCAGGGCGTGGTCCTGGAGTCCTGGGATCGAGTCCCATATCAGGCTCCCTGCGTGGAGCCTGCTTCTCCCTCTGCCTGTGTCTCTGCCTCTCTCTCTCTCTCTCTCTGTCTGTCTCTCTCTTTCTCTGCATCTCATGAATAAATAAAATTAAAAAAAAAGATTAGGCTGTTTATTTGAGATTATTCATGCTTCTTGAGTTAGGCCTGTAATGCTATAAACTTCACTCTTAGAACTGCTTTCGCTGCATCCCAAAGTTTTTAGACTACTGTGTTTTCATTTTCATTTGTTTTCATGTACTTTTTAATGTTTTCTTTTATTTCCTGATTGACCCATTCATTGTTTAGTAGCATGTTATTTAACTTCCATGCATTTGTGATCTTTCCAGATTTTTTTTTTGTGGTTGACTTCTAGTTTTCATAGCACTGGGTCAGAAGAGATGTATGGTATGACTTCATTCTTTTTAAATTTGTTGAAGCTTGCTTTGTGGCCTAATATGTGACCTATTCTGGAGACTGTCCCATCTGCACTTGAAAAGAATGTATTTTTTGATGGAACGTTCTCAATATATTTGTTAAATTCATCTAGTAAAGTATCTTATCAAAGCCACTGTTTCCTTGTTGATTTTCTGTTTAGCTGATCTGTCCATTGATATAAGTGGGTTGTTAAAGTCTTTACTTTGTACTATTGTCAATTAGTTCCTATATGTTTGTTATTAACTATTATATGTATTTGGGTGCTCCCAAGTTGGGTGCATAAATATTTATAATTGTTATATCTTCTTGTTGGATTTACCCTTTATGATTATATAGTGTCCTTCTTTGTCTCTTGTTACAATCTTTGCTTTAAAGTCTATTTTGTCCAATATAAGTATTGTTACTCCGGCTTTCTTTTGACTACATTTGCATGATAAATGTTTCTCTATCCCCTCGCTTTGAATCTGCAGGTGTCTTTAGGTCTAAAATGAGTCTCTTGTAGGCAGTATATAGATGAGTCCTATTTTTTTTATCCATTCTATCAGCCTAGGTCTTTTAATTGGAGCATTTAGTTCATTTACATCCAAAGTAATTATCGATAGACATAATTATTGCCATTTTATTGCTTGCTTTATGGTACTTTCTGAAGATTTCCCTGATCCTTTCTTGTCTTTCTCTCTTTTGTGGTTTGCTGGTTTTCTTTAATGATGTATTTGGATTCCTTTCTCTTTATTATTTGCATATTTATTAGTGGTTTTTGAATTGTGGTTACCATTAGGTTTGTATATGACATCATCTGCATATAGCAGCCTATATTAAGTTGATGGTCATTTAAGTTTGAACTCATTCTTTACTCCTCTCCTCCCCACATTTTAGGTATATGGTGTCATATTTTACATCATTTTGTTTTGTGAGTTTTTTTTACTGATTTTTTTTTTTTACAGAAATACTCATTTTTACTGCTTTTGTGTTTCCTACCTTTATACTGTCATTTTTGGGGATGCCTGAGTGGCTCAGTGGTTGAGGATCTGCCTTCGGCTCAGGGCATGATCCCAGGAT